CTGATAAGCTTACTGACAACCTCTTGAGTTTTCTTGATTCCTCTTGGTGCCAGAGGTTCCTCATACGTTCCATCATTTGAAATTATTCCTGGCTGAACAGTATCTGGAGTGTTAAGGAAACTTGGAGGAGAAACTGCATGTTCATCAGTGGCTGGCCAATTTGACATGGGCGATATTGGAGGGGTTGAACTCACAGCAGTTGAAATGGTAGAGTTTGCCCTGTAATGAACTGAAGGTTGAGAAGGATGACTCTCTTCCATAATTTGATCCATTTCAATTACTGTATTGACAAAGGTATGAACAGAGTCAGCAACCAAGCCACTAACTTTCTCAGTGTCTCTCCTTCTCAAGAATACTCTGATATTCTTCAATTTCTTTGTGAGAATCATCAATCTGATGGTTGTAATAACCCAATAAATAATAAATACAATTACAAATACTAGGAAAATTCCAAAAACAAAGAAAATGACTGAATACCAAGGAAATCTGTAATAGTCAATTATACCATATGGCCACTTAGTTGCAGCTCCAGTTTCCAAAATAACTTGAACCCAAATGCAATAAATTGATGGATAGAGAAGCACCAGGAAAATGTGCCAAATTCTGAAAACCAAATTAGACAGGAAAAACTCAATAATGTTAAATAGTAGATTCATGCCATGATACCCGAATGTAAAGTAGGACATTGGGTCGGGGTCGTTATTAGTTGGATTTCCATTTGCAAGGTCGGGTATAACCATGACCCAATATCCAATCACAACCACGACTGCCGATACATGATTCCACTCAGCAAGTAACCACAGTACCGTAGAAACGAAACTAAATAATTTTCGGACCAAAGGATGCAATTCATCTAAACTTTTAGTAGGTCCTTCAGTTTCAGATTCATTAAAGTACTTGTAGCATGATGTAATGTAAAACAATCCAAATACTGATTGCAAAACATAGTAAATTGCCAGCACTAGAGCTGAAGTATTTGTAAAAAACGAAAAGTATGTCATGAAATCCTTTGGTCTGAAAAAGGTTGGATCAATAGACATTTGCACTGTTATCCACAATGCAACAATCACTCGGAAAATGTACAGTAATATGGTTAATGGTCTTTTAAAGCCAAATCCTTCAAAGACAAACTGTGAAGGATCACGCAATCTTTACAAATTAACATCATGATAATGCATGACAGAATTAGATTCATTATTAGGACACAATTTGAAAGAATCAACACAATCCATATTCGAAACAATATTGCAACTACTTACCTATTATAAATGATTTTCTTGTCTTCCTTTTCCAATTCTTTCTGATCTGAAAAATTGGGTTTTGGCACAGAATTAGGATCCTTTCCCAGTCTAAATGTCATTTGCCTCTGTTTAATGTATTCATCAGTTCGTGTCTTTTTCTGTTGAAATCGAAAGCCTTTCGTTATCAGAACAGTAACTGCTCCAAATATGATAAAGAAGAAAGTCGTTACGTTGGTCGAAATGATCAGGGATGGAACCAAATTAAAGTATGGTCGATCATCCCGAAGGAATGGTACAACAGGCATGATGTTATATTATTATTGTTGATAGTTTGTGTATAATTTAAGTTGTTGTAGTGGGAAGACTCGAAGAAGGTTGTTGGCTATAAAAGAGTTGACTTGTTATTCTTCTGTGTTATTGTATTGATGATGATGAAAAAAGTTGAAACTCTTCGGAAGTAAAATTTGATTCTCTGTTATCTATAGATATTTACAAATAATAATTGATAATGCTGATTTGAATAGATTTGAATGAGGAATGTTTTAATGGTTTCTCTGTTGTTGTTGTTGTTGTTTACCTTCTAATACTTCTTGTCGATTTGAATGGTGAAGCAACATTTAACTTTAAAGAGGAGGAGGAGGAGGGTAATATTATTGAGGATGATTTGGAAATTGTGCTGTTACTGCTGATGCTTGTAACAAACACAGTGGTAGCACGTTGTTGTTAGCTTTTTTTTACTTTGTTTTCTTAAACACATGATGGCGCTCAATTTGCGATCATTTTTGTAGTTGGAGTACCGTGTTTGGAATTGATACGACCATAAAGAAGGAAGAAACAGTCAATTAAGGTCCCGGTCACTATGATATTAAAGGATATCCAGAGTAGCAGAAACGTATGATATTGAGTGAAATTAAAGTTTAGTCTACTTTCTTCTAGTTTCTTCTTACAAATTTTAAAGTTTAATAAATTTTAATGAAAAACACAATTGACAGAAATATTAGTTTTAACCTTTACTGATTTTTGGGTTTAATTTGGTGTGAACCTACTTCACGACCTGACAAAAAGGGTATAATCACTATTCTGGACAAACTTTTTAGCAAATTCTTTGCCAATTTAATGAAAATGAGCTCGTGGAGTTTTCCCTCACTTTTACAATAACTTTGTAATGTGAACAATGAGTCAGTATCTACAGTTTTTAAGCAAACTACAGAAAAATTCTTCAAACATCTGTGTGAAAACTGTAAAGGAAAGTAATTATTCGAAAGTTGAGTTGCATGTCGTGAATGGAAAGGTATCGCTGACATTAATGTCCTACACCTCAACCAATTTCAGTCAGTTTGGAGTTTTTTAAATACGAGCTTATGATCCTCACACATCTTCATCAATCTTCAAGCAGCATGACAAGTTCTTGATCAACAAAAAAATAACAACATTCCACATCTGCGTCGCTCGATTTCTATTCGAGAGAGACTTCAAAAACGCTCATCAACATCATTTATCAACTGTTGCAATCTCCAACAACAACAATAACAAATAGAAAAAGCTTACAAAACTTCTCCACTCTCTTCATGATGGATTCAACAACGCCGTTGTCTTCATCACCAACCCCAAAAACTACAACAAAACAGGAAAATGGCGGGAAGACGATACAAAAAACTGCCAGCAAGATAAACTGCCTGAGTCCTCTGAGTCCAACCTCACCAGCAGCAACAGCAAACGGTTCTTCATCCTTTATGAATGAGGGAGTGGATGGTGATTCGGTCTCATCGACTGGTTCTGGAGGTTCATCATCTAAGAGAAAAAAGCACAAATTTCAAGCGAGGGATTATTGTTTGGTTTTTGAAGAGGCTATCAAGGATGTAGAGTGCATGGATATATTTAAATCATTTCTGAAGAATTGTTCATCGGAGGAGATGCTTGAATTTATACAAGAATATGATAGATATGAAAAAGTGTACAAATTGAAAAAGTTGAGTTATTTTGTAAGCCCCTTGCGAAGAAGATCAATTACTTCTGGTGGGAGTGCTACTAGTGGAGAGAGTTATCATTCAAATGTGACGACAACAGCCAGTTGTGTGAGTAATGTGAGTGATTTGTCGGTTGACTGGAATCAACTCAAGCAAGGTGTGGTAGAATTGAAAGAGAGTGCTTTGAGTATTATTGATACGTTTGTTTCGAAAGGATCGAAAAAAGAGATTAACATTGGATCGTTACAGAAACAATCTTTGGAAAGGTTTGAAGAAATTAACAAGCAAATATTGACGGTAGATTTAAAATCAACAACCAGCTCGTCACAAGGGTTAGAGACCTTGTTGAATGTATTGGATTTGTTGAATCCATCGATTTTGTTTGATGGAATGGCATTGGCTATTTCTACAGATTTAAAGTTTGATCAATTCCCTAGATTTGTGAGAAGTGATGCTCTTTTCAAGTTTTTACAAAAGAAGGGAGAAAAGTATACGAGATCGATAGCCATCAACATTTCGCAAGGTTACGAGATTGATATTCGTTTCAAACCAAGCGATTTGGAGGATAGGATTATTGATGACAAGCTCATCTATTTCGGATTTACAGTAATGCAGGATACACCAGATTGGGAGTTTGTCAAAGTTACTGACCTCTATCAATTACAATTGTCAAAAACAACTTACTTCTTCGATAATGACAAGAAAGAAAGTGGTCTAAAATTGCACAAGACGGTTGCCATCTTCCCATTCCCATTACAAGATGTTTGGAATATGGTGTGTAATCCTGAAAATCACTTCAAGTTTGATCCAAAAGGAAATGAAGATTTCAAAGTTAGAGACTATTTTCCTCCAAATGATCCTATTATGAAGAATCCGTATGCATTGACAGAAATTGAAACAGAACCGAAATTTGGCCCATTCATGAAGAGAAGACACTTGCCATTCATTTTGTCTACATTCTATGATCATGGATTGCAAGGTTACATTGTTATCTGCAGAAGTTTTAACGATGAACCAAATTATCCTGACAGAATTCACTATGAGGGATTTAATTATTCCATTTATTTACCTATTGATGACTACCACTGTAGAGCAATCTTCATTGACTATACAGATATCAAGTTACCCTTCTCAAATGGAACACTATTTGAAAAGGCTACTTACAAGATTTATTCTGGAGCTAAGATTAAGGGAATGCTAAAAGTAATGAAAGATTTGTCTCAAGATGGAAAGAAGAGAATTGAAATGGTTGGAAATGATGAAAGAAATTGGAACAAATCTGTAGAATTACACAAAGAACTTTATCCAGAGAGATCATGGTACAATGAATGGCAACGATTGAAAAAGTTCTAGTCTAGACTAGATAATGATCAACAACCTTGACCTAAATCCAATCACGGAAAAACTCAATGAGAATGGGCTATCCAAATCCAGATTTGGCCAAATGATTCGAAATGCATTATCTTATCCCTGCTATCCAGAGTTATATTCTACCCACTACCAAAACTAATTTCCCATTCTCCTACGCAACCAATAGACCTTAATAAATGTTAAAAACAATTTTGCACCTCCTCTTCCTTGTTGTACATTGGAAAGTATTCGAATATATTTTACAAAATATCAATAGTACATTCTATTCGCTGTTTCGGCTGTTTCGTAATCTCTCATTTATTAAAAAAGGTGCGTCTTTCAATAATGGAGTTATTAATTTCAACTAAATCAACCAGACGAAACAATAAGAAAGCAATTATGAATAATACCCAATGAAAGTCCAAGGCAGGATTTTAGATGGTACGCACTTCATTGGGAGTTTTCAAAAAACTATTAAAAGATCTTTGTGCATTCTCCAGATTTCCAATATTCAAAAAAAAGAATGAAATTGAAAAGAAACAAGAAGGAAAGTGATTCTAATGAAATCAAGGACGAAAGGGAGCCAAATATTAGGTTCGCCATGTGGTTTATTGTGAGAATAATGGGATGGGAAATGATTTGGATTGTATTGGGAATGATTGGATGGGCTGCGCTTGGTTCCATTCCGGTAAGTATTCGAATGTTGAATTTTATTCGAAAGCTTAACACCTATTATATAGCATGGTAAGTTTGCTAAATGTGAATTGCAATTTTTCTAATTACAATGAAAATAGTATTCAATATTTTAATGGGTGAATTAATTAAGGCTGTTTTCTCATCGACAACTGCCAAAACAAGTTATACGAATGAAATTAATAATTTAGCCATGTGGATGGCCATTATTGCAGTTATTGCAGCTATTGTCATGTGGATGGGTTTTTCAATGACAAGTTATGCATTTGTAAGTTTCTTTCGAATAAGCTCAATTCTAAACTTTCTAAATTAGGAAAGAATTGGTGTAAGATTCAAGACAGCTTATATTGAATCCCTTTTAAAACAAGAAACTGGTTACTTTGATATGAAAAGAACTGGTGAACTCATGTCTTGGATGACCGAATCAATGGAACAAATTCAAGACAGTTTCAGTAACAAACTCGGAAGAATCGTCCAGTTTAGTATCCAAATCATTTTGGGTGTCATCTTGGCCCTTGTCTTTGCCTGGAAAATGGCCATCGCCATGGTTGCCTTCTCTCCATTAATTGCAGTCTTAATGTTTGCCTCAGGATTCGCCTCACAACTCGTCACTAGAAGAACCATGAAAATTTCCAATGAAGGATCTGCAATGGCCAACGAAGTTATTGGAGCTATTCGTACTGTTCGTTCTATGGATGCTGAACAAAAGGAAATTGACAGATATAAGAGACAAATGAGATCAGGAAATGCCATGTATGTCATTAAGGGAATTGTTTTGGGATCTCCAATTGGTTTTTCTGAAATTTGCATTTGGGGAATTTTAGCATTTGGAATGTAAGTTGAATTTTAATAGAATTTGAGAAATTTTAACATGTATTAGGTGGTGGGGAGGTAAATTATTACAAGATGGTGAAATTGAATTCCAAAACATGTTCAGAGTTTTCACATTGCTCTTAATGTCAGTTTTGGGTAGCTCACAAATTATGAGTTTCCTTCCAGATTTGACACGTGCCATTGCTGCCAGTAAGAATCTCTTAAAGGTCATTCACAGAAAACCAGCCATGAGATTTGGAGGTGGAATTACCCCAGAAAAAATTGAAGGAAAGATTGAATTTAAGGATGTTTGTTTTTCATATCCAACTCGTCCAAATATTCAGGTTTTGAAGAACTTTACTTTCAATATCAAACCTGGTCAATCAATTGCTTTAGTTGGTAGTTCAGGATCTGGTAAATCAACCATTGTTAGTTTATTGGAAAGATTTTATGAACCATCGAGCGGTAATATTATTTTGGATGGAAATGAATTGGCTGAAATTGATCCACATTGGCTTCGTAGTCATATTGGATTGGTTGGACAAGAACCTGTATTGGTAAGTTTTTTTATGAACTTTCGAATATTTATATTGTGAAATAGTTTGGTGGTACTATTAAGGAAAATATTTGTTATGCTATTAGAAAGACTTCTATTGATCCGTTCCCAAGTGATGAAGAAATTATCAATGCTGCTAAAGCTGCCAACGCTCACGATTTCATTTCCTCTCTTCCAGATGGTTACAATACCAAATTAGGAGAACGTGGTGTTTCCTTATCCGGTGGCCAAAAACAACGTATAGCCATAGCCAGAGCTGTCATCCAAAATCCTGAAATTCTACTTTTGGACGAAGCCACCTCTGCCCTGGACACAAACTCTGAAGCTGTAGTCCAAGATGCCCTCAACAAACTCATGAAAGGAAGAACAACCATTGTCATTGCCCACAGATTGTCCACCATTGTCGATTCAGACATGATTCTCGTTTTCCATAAGGGTGAATTGAAAGAAGTTGGTACTCATGATCAATTGATGGATTTAGAAGGAGGTCTCTATGCAGAATTGGCCAGAAAACAAATGATGAGAAAGGAAGAAAGTTTGGATAAAATACCATCAGTTCCATCCGCCATTGATATGTATAAGGAAGATGAGATTGAGATGCAACCATTAGAAAAGATTCCAAGTACTGATTCGGCTGATTCGAATGAAGATTCTATGGTTTAATTTCGTAATTTATTAGAAATGTTGAAAGTTTTGTTATGAACCAATTTTGTAAAGTGTTGTGCTTAGTATTTGAAAATATTAACACAAGAGGGTAAAGAACTTATT